CTGGTTCGAACGAGCGCAAGCACAATATTGTGTGGGGAGAATTGGAGTCGCCACAGAGGGCAAAGCGAGAGACGAGTTAAAGTGCGGCCGCACGGTAGGGTGTCAAACAGACAGTGGGGGCAATATAAACTACTTATCTTCTTGAACAAGGCCAACATCTCAGCGATTCGCAGCACGGCTTTATGCAAGATCGATGCTGCGCGACATGCCAGGTAGACTTTTTAAATCATACAATAACTGCCATAGACAACCGAAACAGTGTTGTAATCTTGTTCTCGTACACGCATAACGCCTTTGACAGAGCGTCTCATCAAAAGTTATTCAAAAAAGTGAAGGCCAAAGCCATTAGAGAGCCGACGTTTTCTTGGCTGCCTTCATATCTAATTGGAAGACAGCAGGTGGTGCGCATTGACGACCATTTCTATAAACCAAAAGCAATCACCAGTGGAGTAATTCAAGGAAGTGTTGCTGGTTACACTTTTTGCTCTCATGTATGTTAGCGATGTAATGCAGAAAATATGACATAGTGCTATGTTTCTGCTGGCCCATGTTACACGAACACGCAAATACTCAGACAGCCGAACATCTCATTCAGAATGACCTATCTGCACTTGAGTCCCGATGCCAACTGTGGCAGACGTCATTTGCCGTGAGCAAGTGTACTACTTTTTTGTACAAATGCTAAACACCGCCACTAAAAGGCACGAACACCTCGCAGGGAAGAGCAGTTGGCGACTTGGGCTTGCGATATTTATTCAGTCACCACTAATTTTTCTAACATTTTGAGTTGCAAGTTTCGAAGACCATGAAGGTCATCGGATACATAGGCCATCATTTTTACCTCACGGAATCTCGCATATGGCTTTACAAAACATATGTATTGGTCCAAGCTAATCTGCGAATAGCTGACAAATGTGCTCTTGGGAGAGTCCAGAGACGCTTCACGAAAAGCTACGTGGATATCCCTCAAGGACGGCATATAGCCAGCCTTTCAAAAGGCTTGGATTTGTCCCACTCTGACTTCGGAGAATGAAGCTGAACATGTTCGCTATATATGGTTGGCAGCATCTGGTTTCCGATTTGCCTGTCATTGTGGCCAGCCACAGGACGCCTGCCCCCTACAGAGGGACCATGGGTGGCTTGCGCTGCACCACCCACAGCTCCATCCACACACCCCATATCCAGTGTAAACCTAAAGGAATAAGACCGGAAGGCCTGCGGATGGAGCCAAGTTTCATCAACGGAGCTAGCCCATACTCCAACACAGGCAAACACAAGCAAGCTGCATTTGGGGAATCAAACGCACACCTTGCGGTGGCTGGACCGTGGTCCGCTCCACACTGAATGCATGGAATCACTCTTCGAGCCTAGCACGGCCACCAGGACCGCGCACCCTGTCCAGCTTGTCAGTGCCACAACCTTGTCGTCCCTCGCTAAAGACCACTCGGAAGTCTTTTGTGTTGAATTCTTCACCAAATTCAATCAACTGGTTAAGGATACCCCAGAAAATAAGGTTTTCAATGGACCTCAAACCGTTTTTTTCGTGAGGAGCAGAACTAGAACATGAATGACTGTACGCAAGACAACCTGACGAGAGTACATACCATCACTAACGCCAGATAATTGGGTCAACTATGTACGCCATCGTAACCACTTCACCCAACCGCTCAGAGAGGACAACTGCGCATAACAGCAGAATATGGCGACAAATTTCAGCGGCAACAACAAACTGCTGTATATGTCAATGACCGCCATAAGATAAGACACGGAATCCCTCCGCTCCGGATGACTGATGATCCAGCTAGAAGAGCCATGTAAGGAGGAAACGTCTTGCAGACGTAATATGTTCCCACAGTTCAGTGGGTCTTATCATCAGGCTATCTCCCAACTTTGTTTTCCCGCCTCCAGGACTCACCCACACCTCGTTTACTGCAGAAGCTGTATTGCAAAGCTTACGTCTCTACACAAACACAGCTCCCCGGGAGTCGACACCATTCGTCCAGAGGCACCGAGAGCAACAGAAAGACAACTGGCAAAACTTTTGGCCCAGTTCCTTCAGCGCTAACTAGACCAGAACCAGATTTTTTAGATGTGAAAGCCTGGAATAGTTTCTCCGATTTACACAGGCGAAAGCAGGACTGAGATCTCAAACTACGGCCCAGTATCTCTCCCTTCCAAACCGTCCAACATAATAGAAGCTATCATTGCCGATGCGTTGCACTGTTATCTAGCAAATTTGAACATTATTGCTCCAGAGCAACACGGCTTTCATCGACAGCAATCACGCACAATGAATCTATTAATCGCACGGAGTAGTTGGACTGAGTCAGCTGACACTGGATAGACCGTTGCTGTTATCTATTTGGACTTTTTGAAGGCATTTGATCGTTTAGCTCATCGCATGCTGCTTTCCAAGCTCCAATATTACGGGATCCGTGACGCTCTCTTGAGCTGGATTGCCAACTTCCTATTACAACGATAATTATTGGTCAGACTCCGGAGTGCCATATCAGAACCCATACCAGTTGAATTCGGTGTGCCCCAAGGCTCAGTTCTAAGTCCACGATTGTTTCTGGTATCCATCAATGACCTTGCATGGAAAATCGCTTCAAATTTCCTGCTGTTTGCTGACGATATCAAGAGAGGGTGCCGGATTCAGGCGGATGCCGATCAGAATTTACTTCAATGTGATCTGGATATGGTACATGAGTGGTCAACCCGAATTCTGCTACAGTACAAGGTGGACAAATGCATGATACGCTCCATAAGGCACCAAAGTACTTACTCCTACAAGCTAGGAACGCGAGTACTGCAACGATCATCCGTGGAATGCGAACTTAGCGTGCGTGTTCAGGATAATTAGGGTTGTTCCAAGCAATCCATAGAGACGCCACAAACTGGTAACCAGCACGTCGACTTGCTACGACGGGCGTTCAGAAAACTAAACAGTACTATTCTGGTAGATGTTGAATGCGCAACTTCGCCCCATGTCGAACACACAATCCAAGTCTGACAGCCATGGCTGAAGCACGACTTTACTGCACTGGAACAACCTTAATCTCGGGCTTCTAAATACGAGCAGTGGTTGAAACGTTTGGGAGTATTGAGCTGGCGGTCTCACCGACTATGAGGAGACTTGATTATGGTGCATTTAAATTTACAAAATACAAATAATGTGTGCCGCTCTTTACTGCAACTCGGCCACGACACTAAACTTAGAGGCCACTCCTTGAAATTAGCAGAACAGTACAGTTGTCTGGCATGCCACAGAAATTTCTTTTCCATTTTTGTGTGTCAACCCTGGAGCGCTCTCTCCGAATCGGTAGTTCCTGCACGCACGCTATTCATGTTTCAAAATCGCTTGGATGAGGCACTTCACAACTTACATTTTGTTACTTGACGCTACTTGCCATCCTGCTTGCGGGAAATACCTTGGATTTAGTTTGTTCGTCTATTGAAGCTATGGAAACAACTGGAGGGCATGGCTGCTGCACTACACACGTAAACTCCATTCTTTTGACAGTAAAACTACCAACAGCATTCTTTTCCTTGACATTTTTCGATAACCCAACAGACTATGCAACCGGGCTTGCAAAGCAGTGCTTCTTAACCCGTATAAACTAATTGATCATTGTTAGTCCTTCACCTGTTCCACAGTTGCAACGCTTGCTTTTTTTTCCTCTGCTCTCTGCCACTGACAACTGTTGTAATGCTTGCTTTGCTGCCCTGTGAGACTGCGACTGTCTGACGATTCAATCATGTGCCGAGACAACCGAAGCAATACAAAAGGCCAGAACTCGGTAGAGAGAGAGTGTATCTACAGGATAGGTTAACTATATTTATTGGTAAAAGAAATATGCTAAGTTAGGAGGCCAAGGTCACTCACCCCTCTGCATCTGGTTTCCAGCCCGTATGAGTGAACCCCGCTCCACCGGTTTATCATATTGACGGAATACTTCGATTCATTTGATGCGTGCTGGTATTTGCTGGCCGATCAATCCTTACACTATTCCCGAATTTAGCGGCAAGGGCAAAACTAGTAGCACGCCCGTGCTGATGGCCCTTGCATGTAGCGGACAGCCTACGGGCTCCGATTACCCGTCTGTTATCCAACATTATCAAGTAGTTTAACTGATACTGGCATAGATGCAAAACAAAGTATCTACATCCTGTAACTTACCTACAGATTTTTCTTCTCTACACCTAGTGACAGCGTTTTTGCATCTTCCAAGGAATATGTACTTCAGAATAATTGATACCATGATTTAGCCATGAGTCATCCAGTTTTGAACAACCAGTATTGTAGCTTCTAGAGAAGGTCCACTATACTGATTAATGTAACAAGACGCATCAACCGTTCCCTAACGGTAGTGGTGGCCATTCTGCATCCCAGGATTGTCCTGACGTCCATAAACAACTTAGGTTACTCCTTAAAGCAAATGATCGGTCTCGAGTTAGTTTCCTTTGGATTGGGCTGGCGACCCAAAGGTATCATTTAGGTACAAGGTCTTCAGTTGAATATCTGCACAATCAAATACATTCAGAGGACGTATAACGATTAGCACAGTTCAAATTAAGTCAAACTAAGCTTTGCGCACCCATCTAGAACATTTTTAGCATTACCTGTATTTAAATATCGGAGGTAACGCTGCCAACGTCCTCCGTACATTGGAGATACTGAATTCACTTGCATTCTACAAATATTTTGACCGGTGTGCAAGCAAGTATTATTCTTTTGATGTCATGTATTCCAGTATTTTCCAGTGTACACTTTGATTTTATATAAAATGCTTCCTGAGTCCATGTCTGTTGAATAGTCTATTGTAAGCGAAGGCTGAGTGGACGGCTATAACCCGTACGTTTGAATAGTAAATGAAACATATCGATTTACACACTTTGGTGCACTATACTTCTCATAAGGACACAAAGTTAATAAGGTGATTTTCACCCCATTAGCTCCACCGTCTGCTCATTTCTTTCTCACCACTTTGTTTCCACAGGGGCCAAAGAACCTCTAGTGGGCTGTCCAGCCACTCACTTATTTCTCTGGACCCTTCTTACGGAGCGCAAAGAAACTGCTGAGTTCTTTTGGACGCAACTACAAGAACCACTGGGTGCGTCACTCATGGCGGTGCTGCTGCTTCGGCGATTCGCTCATCACACAAATTCCCTGGTCAATCGTGATGAGCTGTTGACATTTGCCGGGTGCGTTTTCATCCGATGGTCCTGTAGCAAACTGAGGTAGCATTCTAGCCACTTTTCTCGCAGGTTCACTAACTACCGTCTCATAGGACAAACTGAACATGTGTGTTGGCTTGGTCCATATTTTGATTATTTGCATGCGTCGAGTGCACATAGCAACTCCTATGGATGACAGCCAGCAACCCCTAGTTCGAGAGAAATCCTAGATTATCTGCAAGCATGCAAACACTTTCTAGATTACACATATTTTGTCAAATGAATCGACATGTACACCTCGAACTAGTCCAACGCTACCACTCTGCCTACCACGGATGTCGGAGATAAATGTCCCCACTTGGGCAGATGACAGAATGCAATCCAATCCTGCTCAATTCGTATTGGATAGGCGCCATTCGATTAGGTGTACTGTGTGCAAGCCACTCACAAGAGGAGAACCCAATGAAAAATGAGACTCATCGGCCACTCTGGCGGACAGCCCACACGCTGAATCAAGTAGTCACAAATATGACCATTTGAAATACGGCCAACTTACGTCACACACCGATCGATGAGGTAGGTCACTTCTTTAGATGATAGATACGGATGAAAACCAAGGTCTGCCAGATTCGCAACTTTTAAAACTGTTCTGCGCACTGCACGATGTTGTGGAAGTCGGGGTATGAGTATCCGGGGTGTATTTGTGCTGAAATTTTTGGAAAGTCTATCAATTCTTTTGTGGTCTCATAAGGAGCAGTCAAGTAGCAATCGCAGCTGTTATAGAAACCTTTAACTAGTCAATTAGTATGGCCTGAAAATCAATCCAGTCCCAAAACTCTCAGTCTTCGTCATCTACATACTGCTTGTGTGGAGAAGGTGCTATGTCGTCTCCAAGTAGTTTCGACTCCTAAAGATGTTGCTGATGGTACTCCATGCGCAGAGTAACCAAAGGAATTCGGATCGGTGTGGCCTAAGAGATGTAGCTCGCACACGCTTGTACACGCCAAGTGAGAGTACAGACGAACCACGGAACCTCGCATCCGGACTGCACTGAAACACAGAGAAGTGAGGCTGGCAAGAATTCACTTACTGACTCAACCAACAGCAAACATGCCTCACATAGTACAGCGCTTTCGGGAGCGCAACACCAATTTCTATATGCTTCAGCTGTGGTCCTCCTGATCGAAAGACCAAGGTGGCACTTCAGTGGGAATCGCGGTCAACATAGAGGTTGCATATCACAATTCGTCCACACAACATGCACTTCAAAATGACCCACAAAATCCAGTATTAACCGTTGTGCTGAGCGTTGCTCGTCGTAACCCGGTGACTTAGTGGTAGCGGTCAACAGCAACATGCCAAACGTCCCGGTTTCGATGCCCGCTATCCCTATCTGATGAGAGAAAAACCGTGGACATGCGTCGTAGGAGTACTGTGTTTCCCGGCGAGCAGCCCCTAATGGGGGAAGGTAAATGTTAGTAAGCACGCGATTTGCCACTGAGGATAACTCAGTTGGATCAATGTGTTTTTGGACTCTAGATAGTGTTACTGGGGTGAACTCAGTTAAGCCACTCTGGCATGAGACGATCGATACAACAGCATCAGTGGAGTCTGCAAAGTTTGCGTCCACACATAACAGTTTTGATAAGAAATGGTCAGCTGGTAGTTGTCCGGTTTGAGTCAGCAGATGGTAGCAGCATTGCTGAGGTGGCCTCAGGCAAATGATGCACAAATTTCGCGGAGCTATGTGAACTCCGTAACAGCTCGGTTAAGTTAAATACTCAGTCCTTGTCTGGATCGTATACTGGCCCATTAACAGTCATTGGAGTTGCTACCATACCCGATACCCGAAATTTCCATGAAGATGTATGGCACAGCTTCTTCTGTTATTCACTTAGACCAAAGTCTGAAGGACTAGACAATGTAGCATACTGCGTACGTGACACCAGTTTAACAAAACAGCGAGATGGCGAAGGTTACAAGATAGAACTATTCCTCATTATTGTCGCATGTGATCTAAGGTCCGTCGTGGTTACTTGGGAAAATTTACCATTCGAATTTTCTTAAACGGTTGTTGGATAAAGTGCGTCTGTGCGCAATTCGATTAGTTCCTGACCGTATTCGCATACATCCAGCACAGTAAATGTTATAGTTATCATACATCCGAAAGGCGACGGAATGCCTTGTCCTTCGGTTGATGTGCTCAGGCAGCATACTGCCTTCGGATCCGGAGAAATCCTAACCTACAAGACCGCTGTAATATTGCAATGTGGACAACTGTCATTGATAATGGCAAATGACCACGAAGAAGTAACTATTATCTGCAATATAGCGTAGCTCAATTCACACTTCATACTCGTGCCTGTTGTGATGAAGGTCAAGTTATTCAGAGGTAAGGTTGACCATCGCAATTAAGACCAACTTGACTACTCACCAAACAATAGCTCGTGAGATTACTGCACACAAGGGAGTAGTATGACATTTTGAGGCATTTTATGCAGATTGCTGTAGGTCAATACTGCTTTATACACATTTGGCGAGTGAATATTCAGCAACAACAGGCACCATATCAGAAATGTACCAATGTATACACAAGTACAGAAAGGCGCCATAAATCGGTTTGATAAAGAACAGACAGAAATACTATTATACTGCGAATCGGCTGATTAACTCTGGAACAACATGGTTGGGAGTTCGCAGCGAACGTGAAAGGTAATGGATAACCGACAAGCGGTAGGCTTGTGTGCGAGCATATACCAGCTTGTACTTCCGCTTAGTAAACAAAGTTGACAGACATTCAGATAAAGCGATGTGAAGCGCATGACTTGTATCAGCCACTAACTTAGATGCCAGTTTCTTACGAGAACTGGTGTGTGTAAAAAGAAGTGTGCTGAGAAAAGTAGGCCTCGGAACGCGGCTACATCTACATAAGTGCCGTAGTGAATTGTCAATTAGCCAAAATTTATTATCCAGAAGACTGGGGGAAACCGCAATGCAACAGTCATTCATTTATGCATTATACACGTTAGCTAGAGTTGGGAAACACCTCAGCTACTGTGCCGCAATACGTCGAGGAAAAAAAGGAAAACTAAGCAGCAGATGCAAGCCAGCTGAGCTACCGGCAACTGATGGACATCATTCCGGTTAGCTAGTATCCGGTTATTATGCAGCAAAGATATTACTTTGCAAAATTATGTAAGGCTAAATAAGGAGATAGTGGTTGGAGAGGGCGGCTAAGAGGGATGGAGTGGGACAAAGAAACTCAGAGCACGAACACCACTGAGTTCGGCTCCTAGCCATATCAACAAGTGTATCCAGCCAAACGTGTTCATCCTTTTACGGACCCCAATCAGGGAGCCGAAGAGCTCCAACCGAGGCCAGCTTCGAAGTGAGGGCCTTCATTCCTCTCGACCAAGTCATCGCTTGGCCACCTCTCCACTTCTTCCATCCATACCCGCGGCGCGCAAACAAAGTACGTCGCGGGAGACGATGGGCTGCTATGCGTAACCCGCGTGAAATAGCGGTGCCGAGTGGTTCATTTCCGTTTCCTGTGTCATAAACACCGGCCACGAACACGCTCGTTGCTCATGCGGTGTTCCTACCAAATGTGAGCTAAATTGTGAAGGCACCGGTGGTCCAACGTAATTAGCCACTTTATGTTCCTTGATTTAAGGGCCAGGTTTCACAACTGTATAATAGGGTCGAACGTACCGCTGCATTGTACGCTCTGCCCTTCTGCGCGATAATGATGTCGCGCCGGCGCCATAAGTAGCGAACGTTAGCGAAAGCGCCTCAAGCTTTTACTATACGGTTCGTGATCTCATCTTCAATCCCACGGACGCTGATACAACTTCTCAGGTAGTTGAATTTTTGAACGACTTGTAGCTGATCTCCACCAAGTGTCAGCGTAGGAGGCGGTCCAGGCCAATCTTGGAGGAACGCATTGCACTTCGATGGTGCAAAGCGAAGCCCGAAGCCGGTGACAGTTAACGCTAGTCTGTCCAGTACCGCTTGGGTAGTCTGGGAGCTGTCACAGATTAGGGCAATATCGTCAGCATAATCCAAGTAAAGAAGTAGTTCTCCTGGAAGCAGTTCCACACCTTCTAAGTACTGTCCTTTAAATACCATCTCTATGATGTTCGTTTATTTGGAGCCCCCGCCGTATGCCTTGGGTTGCGACGCGCAATCTCACTAGTGGCGTCGGTTGACTTTGAAGTCAGCCTCTGCCAATACGGTCACTGGGACCGTCACCGAACTGGGGTGTTTCGGCGTGACTTTCTCCCATCTCTGCACTCCACGACTGACGGTCTCCTCTTTTTTTAGACTCATCAGGCAGAGATAGCCGAGCTGGGAGTGGAACTCGACGCATAGTGCTTGGTGGCTATCGCCATGACCACTAGGCCATTGAGCTCCGTGAGCATTGCCGAGTTCCACTCGTAGCTAGGCTTTCTCTTCCTGATGAGTCTAAGCAAATCGGAACCGTCGGTTTTGGAGTGCAGGGACGGGATAGGGTTACAACGATACCCTCCGCAATTTCTATGACTTTGTCATTAGCGAATTTAAAGAGGAATGGCGACAGCGAGCATCCATTTCTTTCACCGCTGGATATAGTAATGTGTATGACAGCTTGTCGTAAGCCCTCACTGCCGGAGCTAGGCGCGTATAATTTTCGGATAATATTTACGTATTTCTCAGGTACACATTTTCTGCGTAGACAGTCCCAAAATGCACGTCTATCCACCGAATAGAATGCACCTTTGATATCGAGGAACACGACAACGGTGGGCCGCCAATATATGTGACGGTGCTCCAACCACTGAAACAAACTGAAGATGTGATCAATACAGCCACGACCTTGACGAAACCCGGCGTTCTCTTCACGAAGATGGCTTTCAAGAGTGCCAGTCAATCTGTGCAGGAGGACAGAAGCAAACAATTTGGAGGCGATGAAGACCAGACTGATTCGTCCATGGTTGCTGCATTCCGATCGTGAGCCTCCCTTGAAAATTGGGAGTATGACGGAGCGG